TAGTTGTATAATTCTTGGCAGCAGCAACAGTGATAGTAGTAGTGATAGAAATATTACTACAGCAATAACAACTACAGTATCCATAATAATCATTATTGTTACCAAGACATGTTACTGTTCCTAGTATCAACATTGTAATCATCATTACCAATATTATTACTGACATTATTATCAGCAGTGTAACTAATGTTAATATTGTTACCGTAATTGTTGTAATAATTATCATTAACATTATTTATTTCTGCTATAGCTCTTGTTTTTTTCCTATTTCTGTTAATAATTATCTCTCTCTCTCTCTCTCTCTCTCTCTCTCTCTCTCTCTCTCTCTCTCTCTCTCTCTCTCTCTCTCTCTCTCTCTCTCTCTCTCTCTCTCTCTCTCTCTCTCAATCTCCCCCCCTCTCACTCTCTCTCTCTCTCTTTTCGCTTTCGTATATTCATACTTTCGTCGGTTTTCTTGTCTACAAATAGTTTCCTTCTTTGCTCCCAGTGTAATATTTGTTTTACTTCTCTATTTTCATTTTGATCCATCTTTGTCACTCTTATATTTAACAGAAGTACTTTCGCATCAGTCTTGTATCCTGGCCCTACATTTTCCTGTCAGCTTCCAGGTTTTGCTTGCGTATAGTGAAGTAAATAACTTTAAATATCCATTTAGCTTATTTAGGTTCGTTAGAGCCATTCATCGATGGTTAAAAGACGTCAGCATCTTAGGTAAACTTTGCTATTTTGTTATTTATCTTATGTTTCAGTTGTCTTACTAGGCGTATATAGGCCTGAAACTGTACATATATTTTATATTCTATTGTTGTTTAATTCTGTATTTTCTCCCTCGATCGTCATACCCCTAAATATTATATTTTGCTTACCTTCCTATCGTGTTCTTGGAAATTTGATTCCTAGTTATTCATCATAACTTCCAGTAATCTTGTGGATTGTGCCGTCGTCGTTGTCGTAAAGCAGGGAGACTGTCGTGGCTCTGATTTACCTGCAAGGTAACTTTATTAAGGTAAGTAATGAATGACAGCGGGGCGAACACATATCCCTGCCTCACTCCCCGAGCCGTCGAGAGCGAAGTTATTATATCAGATATTTTCAAGGGAGTTATCATTGAAAGTGCAAGAAACTTGGCGATGAACACAGGAAGCAAAGATTAATTTTTACGGGACCTTTGTAAACTCCACGCCCCGAGGCTGTTGCCCCGCCTCCTCTCCTCTCCCGGCCGTTCTGCTCACTCCTGTTTTAATTCCAAAGCCAATTTCGGCTCCATTGATGGCACCGCTTTGAGAGACATATATGTACTTTGAACCGCCTGCAGTGAGATGTTTCTGTTGCTTCCCAAAATGCTCATAGTTTGTTTTTTTGAGATTCCCATTGGATACATGTATACTGTTGCTTCCCCAGGACTTTTCTACGGGTGATAAGAGAGATGAAATTTAATATACTGATCTTCCTGGTCTGAAACAGTATTGTTTTTTTCAGAAAGTATACGCAAGCTCAGATATGACTCGACGTTTAAGAACTCCCTCATAAAGCTTCCCAAAACAGGTCATTAGAAACACAACATTGTGATTTGTACGCTCCACTGGATTTCATTTGTGTTTAGATAGGGCATATATAATGGATTTATCACATTCGTATGCGACTGTTTTTGTGAAGTATGCTGGGCTGAACCATCCCTGGAGAGCTTCCACAAGTGTTTCTCGAAATGCTTTCCGAACTTCACACACAAAAAATGAAAAAAAATGTGGAGATTTTCCGGCTTTCAAAAACCCCATCGCCAATTTTCAGTTTCATTCGTTATGTGCTCATTACCACTCCACTCATGTGTTCTGTGCTTGGTGAACACCTGGCTCGAAAACTGCTTGGTAGGCAACGTTATACATGTCTGTAAAGTAATCGCCCCACCTGTTATTTATTTGTAACCTATGGCTAAGGACATTTCCCTTGAATTTACCAAAACGTTCTTTGTATATCTTCGCTTTCTTCCCCACCCTATTTTCCTTCTTCACTTCTACTGATATATAACCTTTCTTTCATTCTGATTGTCAGCCATAATTTAACCAACTTCTTGTGCGTTCAGAATTATACTGTAGTTTCGGCTCCTTCCTATGCTTCCTCTGCACGAAGGCAGGGTTGAATATCGTCTGACTTTTCCTGGAGCTTAGTTTGTAGCTCTTGTTTCCTCTTTCAATCGCGTAGTTCATTTATTCCTCAGCCTGTGATCTAAATCCAGTTAAATAGTAGGGTGTGTTTGTGCGTTCTTGAGAAATTACTTATTATAAATGGTGATGAAATCAGTTTTATTTTAAGTTCCAAAATTGTGATTTTATACAATGCTATATAAACATATGCGACTAGCGGTGAGAAAAGGCATTCATGGTTGATAAATTATTCGAGCAGAAAGTCATTAAGAGTTCCTTTTCGCTGTTTTTAGTGCCAGTTCCGACATTTCTCGTGACATTTTCCCTTTTCTCACTTTCTTATGTCAGATTAGTTCGCCGGTGAAATCTTTACAGTAAAATCCTCCTTTCTTTATTTATTTTTCTATCCCCGGTACTATGGGGTTCGGGCCTGTCTTTTGTCTTCCGATCTTTAGACTGACTCCTGTTAATCTTTCATTTGTAAATTTTACATCCTGGTTGCATTCTCCACGCTTGATTCCTGCTTCATGTCGTGTACCTTTTTCTCCATGGTGATAACGATATTAAAAAAGATAATAATAATACAAAATAAAAATAATAATGGCAGTAATAGAAGCAGGAATAGTAATGCTAATATTTATGATGAGAATGATAATAACAACAACAATAATAATGCAAACGATAATAATAACATAATGATAATAAAACAATAAGGCATGACAATCGCAATGATACTCGTAACATATAATGATGATAACCATAATAATAAGGATAATTATAATAATGATCATAATAATTAAAACAATAATGATAACAACGTTAACAGTGATAACAGTAATAAGATTACAATAACAATGATAATAACAATAAGGATAATAACATTATAACAATGATATCACCAATGACAATTATGTTAGCAGTGATGATAATGATTACAATGATAATGACAATGAAAATAGTGATAATGATAATGATAATAATGGTGATGATGTTAATGAAGACGACGATGATGATATTGGTGATAACAGTCATGATAATAATATTGATATGTAAAACATGTGATTGATTTCAATAATGGTAATGATTATAATGATAAGATTATGGTAATAATGATGATAGTGATAATAATTATAACAAAGAATGATAATAATGATGATACTTCTATAGATAGTAATGGTAATAATAATAATGATAATGATAATTATAATAGCAATAATATTAATAATAATAATGATAATAATGATGATAATAATAATGACAATAATGATAATAATAATAATAATTATTATAATAATAATAATAATAATAATAATGATAATAATTATAATAATAATGATAATAATAATAACTAATGATGATGATGATAGTAAGACTTATTGTATTGATAACAATAATAACAATACTAATAATAATGATGATGATAATAACGATAATAATAACGCTTACATTCATAATGATGATGATGATGATAATAATGATAAAGGTAACTATATAAGTAGTAGTAATGATAATAATGATAACAAATATATATCATGTATCATTAAGAAAATAATAATAACAATAATAATAAAAGCAGTAATGGTAATTTTAATGATAATAATAATGAAGATGACGATGTTAATTTTTGTATTGCTATTACTTTGCTTATTGCTATTGCTATTATATTCATCTATATTGCTATGATTACCATTACCATCATTATCACTGGCATTGTTGTATCTATAGTATTAGCAATGATAATAAAAGTGTACTTAGTAGAATTATGATATAATTAATCATGACTGTGGTTATTTTAATCCTATCGATGGCAGTAAGAACAATAGTAATGATAATTATGATCACTATTTCTCTATAATTGCCACAAGATCATTACTAGCAATAAACTTGAAATGCGAAAACTAGTTATGTCTTCAATGATGATTTTAATAACCTAGTCAAAGATATTAGAGAAAACCACTATTGATATTGGTAGTTTCTGGTCGTAAGAAACTATTAATAGACTTGGTGAGTTTTTAAATTCGTTTTTACAGTATTACTACGGCATCTAACTAGTAATTTAGGACATCGAATCCGTACACCTTCTGAGTATACATCGCTCGAAATATTTCCACATTCCATGAGCCTTTTGTGAGATAATCTGGCAGGATGAATTAATTAGTATAGTCATCTATCTATTCACCGTCCAGGTTAACTGCATAGAGATGGGCGCACCATGATATATTTAATGTACATTTATTACACTATACTGCAGCATTATATTGCGGAGTCAAGGTATAAAACAAGGGTACAACTTAAAATATTTGAGATGTAAAACATGTGAAATCGGGAGTGCACGCCCCGTAGAGTTCTTAAATGTGCTCATTCATTTTATATTTTGTATTATGACAAACGGCTAACGCATTTTGAAGAATGAGGAACGGGAGATTATCATAAAGGCAATTATGATAAGTTTGCTGACAAAATAACCGATCTTTGTCAAGTCATGATGTGGCAGTGAAAATTGAGTATAGGCAACTGTCATTTAACATAATCACGTTAAAGTATCACAAGATTTTGGCTGAACACATGCAAATCAGTACAGTGTGAACCAAGAACAGCAAGAGATACCTGCAGCCTTAATTCGGTAACATCTGTACGATAGACGAACCCAAACGCCGCTCTTTTAACTTCCGAGGCCAGAGTTCTGAAATGCAAGCGCCTGAGACACTGAAGACTTACTACAGTTTCAGATTTTGAGCATCTCCTAATGTTACACAGAGACGAAAGAAAGCCCCTCATGACGAAACTAATTGGCAACTCCCGAGAGCGTGGCCAGAGTGGGGGTAACTCTGTTAAACTTGTGTTAGTGTGTGTTCAGCC